ATGGATACACCGATGATCACTTGCTACATACTCAACGAGTGGACATGAGGCCAGTTTGGGATTGATGGTACTCACTATTCATTGTAATTTCTTGCTCATACATGTTATTAATTTAGAATATTTTATGAAAATACATTTTTTAGAAGACATTTTATCTTTATTATATATTATATAGCTGAATTAAATAAAATGTCTACAATATTCTAGGTATATTGGAATGCATTCGGTTTTATATTTATACTTCAAACAGTACTGCTGGTCAAAGAGGCACTATCGAATTGTACCTGGCACATGGCCTTTATTAGCAGTCAGTATTAATATGATAAAAGGCCTGCAATTTCCCGTTAACTTTCCATCAGTAGGCCATTAATTGCCAATATATTTAATTCAACACATTAAAGAGAAAACGGTGGTCTTTAACTTGATTTTATGTCTAACAAAGCCTGCTTAATAAATTTTTAAAACCTTTACATTATAATTCGTTGCTTGTTATAACTTTTTACCTATAATGTTAATACAAATCATATTCTTTTTCTTTTAAGATTTTTAAAAATAAAACCCCTATCGATAACTTTTTTAATATACTCGTGCTGCTACTATACATTAAACCATTAATTACCTAAACCAACCCTGGCATCCAAAACGCATGTTTAGAAAAAAGTCATATTTAGTAAGACTGATTGAAAATAATTAAAATTGGCAACACCTATGCCATACCCATTTAAAAGTCCAAGGTCATAGAAATCTCATTTCAAAATCCTTTGATCTTTTGCCGGGTTTCGCATCTGTTGTGGTTAATCTGTGGTGATATCTTTCGAAACGTCTAAAAATTAAATCAAGATTACAATGGGGCATGTTCAAAAATTTTGAAATTTATTTTATGAATAATAGAGTTGAAAATAAAACTACATTTTTTTAAATTTTTTTTTTATTTATTCATTTGCCGGAATTATGATTTTTTTTTTAAATTTATGACGTCACCAGGAATAGACCAATAGGAGCTAGCGCACAACGTTGCCGGCTAGAAGGTTTACGAGAAGTGATGTACGTCCGTTTGTGTACTCCTTCTTACTTTTAGACTTCTAAAACATCGTTAAACAAATATCTTTTAAATATATAATATCAAATGTTTTTTGAAAGTATTATTTCTGTTTAAACTTTTACCATATTTAAAGTTTCATTGTTTTAAAAGTCACTTAATAATTCAGAAAATGGCAAAATGGCAGCACTGTGTATGGCATCTGACATCATAGTGTCTCGATCAAGAATTTATTTGGAATGTGAGTGTTTAATTTTGTACTTTTTATAAATATTATGACCACAAAAAAGTGTTTTGTTCCAGAATGTGATAATGATTCACATTCATCTTCAAAAATATTTATTAGTGTTCCTAGAAATTTGGAAAGAAGAAAATCAACCTTCTACTAGCGATGTTTCTCGTGAACTTTTTAATAAAAATACACCGAATTATCAAGATGTAGCAGCAATTTCTGCTAATTGTCCCCTTCAGGAAATTGAAAATGAGGCTACTATAAATTCTTAGGTGTATAACCTAAAAACCCTTCTGGAAGAAAATGCAGAATCTCCTGAAAGTTTTGAAGATACGGAATTTATTCATCATTTTGTGGAAGAACTAGTGATAAAGAAATAATAGAAAAATGTGGGTATTTAAACAAACTGGTTCCTGGATCCCATATAATGGCAGATAGGGGTTTCAGAATATTCAGCTACTTGAAAACATGGGATGCACTTTAGTAAAGCCACACCTAGTGTATCACAGAATGAAAAAAGTTCTCCAGAAGATGTACAATTAAGTAAAAAAATAGCATCTATAAGAATACATGTGGAAAGAGTTATAAGAAGGGTTAGTTAATTTAACATGTTAAAACCACATTCGTGTGTGAATTTTAAGCAAGTACATTTACTTAGTAATATCTGCATAATTGCTTGTTAACTTACAAGAACCTATTTTGTAAGAGTAAATATTAATTTAATAAACTTTTTTGTTTGTTTTTTAATTTAATTTACCTAATTATCACATTTCAGGGATTATAATGAGTTTTTAAACAGCCAATGTAATTTTTTATAAAATTTTAACTTTTCGAGCAAATCAAAGAGGAATGAGTACCTGTATATGCATAAATTTTTTTGGGACTAAAACTACCAAAACAAAGGCACCTATTTACAGCAGTTTAAAATGAAACATTTTAACAAAAACGCCTATGTCACAGTGATAAATATTAAAACATTTTTGCAGTTCCGTTTATTTTTTATGAAAATCTAAGTAAAAACAACCAATGTCAAAGGGTTATAATTTTTTTTCTGTCAAACCAAATACCTATATCACAAAATTAAAAATTGAACATAGGTCAAGCTAAAGTAATACCTTTATTGATAGTAGCTTTAAAAAAGGAGAAAGAATAATATTGACTTAAGTTGTTATTATTAACATTGGTGATTTTTAATAAAAACTCTTCAATTATTGTTTATAAACAAAAATACAAAAATATGTGAAAATTTTATTTATTAACCTTTTAATAAAAAATGAGAAAAATGAAGTAAAAAACAATTTATTTACAAATAAAAAATATATATACAAATCCTAAGAATATAAAAGTACTGATTTATTTTCCTGTAGTGGATGAAGAGGTTTCTTTAACAATCTAGCCAAGTGTACATCAATATTTACGCATTTTGATAAATTAGAGCCTTTCCAATAACACTGAGTAGATGTTACAGATGTTTTCTCACTTCTTCTATGAAGCCACATATTTACAACCACCTGAAAAAAATAAAAGGGTTAGATATGCAGTTACAAAATAACTATAAACCAGCTACAAAATGCCTTATTTTATGGAACAAGACGAGCAGAGCTTTACTAGCTCTGAACGAATCCAGTAAAGAACCTCGGATTTTCAAAACTTAAAAAAACAATCTCACCACATTTTCACATTTTTGAAATATTATAGAGCTTTTCGAAAAAAACTGCTATTTTTAAAAATACAATTTTTTGTTTAAATAGCTATGTCTCATTTTAGGCTATTGAGTATTATAAAATAAAAAATTACGGGATGCTTTGTTAGTTTCAAACGAATCCAGCAGAGCACCCCAGTTTTTTTTTAAACCACACCACGTTTTTTGGCTCCTACAATATTATAAAATATTCGAAATTTGGCATTTTAAAAAAAAATTCGCAATTCCTTGCTGACTTCAAAGTTTTTTTTCTGAAAACAAATGTACTTACCACATTTTTAGGATTTTAAAACAGCCTAAACATGTGTCATAAGTAGTTGTTTTTTAAAATAAAAAAACAAATTAAAAAACTGAAGTGTCCTGCTGACTTTGTTCCAACAAAGCACCCTGTATTATTTAAAAATAGCAAATTTTTTTAGTAAAGTTTTACAATATTTCAAGAGTCTAAAAATATTCTAAAAATGGGGTGTGGTTTTTAGAAAAAAGCTTTAAAAAACCGAATTGCTCTGCTGGCTTTTTTCGAAGGTTAGCAAGCACTATGTATTTTTTTTTAAATATATTTCAAGTGCATAATATATATGGTGTTGCCGTTTTTACAGAAAAAACTTTATAAAACAGAGGTGTTTTGCTGACTTCGTTCGAAGCTATCAGAGCATTTTAAGTTTTGCACAAAACGAGGAGCATACATTTTTTAAAAAGGGTATAAAAATAGCCTAAAAATATGGCATATTTTTTCACTCAAAATTTCATAGGTGCTCTGCAGCATTCTTTGGTATCATAATTATTACTAGGTTCACTAACAAAATCTATTTCTAGATTATTTTAACACTTGCTGCGATTACAAAAAATGTCTATATGTCAAAATTAGAAAAAAAAAATATTTATAGGAATAAAGGGCCTTATACACTGTTTATTATATGTAATATAAAAACAAAAAAGCATAATAAATATTACAAACCTTGACATGCAGCATATCCTAAGCATTGTGCACCAAAAATTTCATTTTTGTTAATTACAACAACCACATCAGAAGGTTTTTGCCGTACTTTATGTTTAGGTGTAATTTGTCACCTTCTCTCTTATGGAAAAAGAAATTATCCCCATATTCTTGCTTGGCAGATCTAAAAATAAAACCTGAGATAAATATGTTTTACTATAAGGTTTATTGCTCCATATAAACTGTAACTACCTACTATTAAAACAAAGTCTTACCTTTCTGACTTTTGTAAACTGAGTATTGTTAAAAAAAAGCAGTAATCATCTCGGTAATCATATTTCCGTTTACAATGGGTAAAACACTTGATTCAACTTTTATAAATCCAGCTGATTCATATTAATAATAAAATTAAACCAACACAAAAAACTAAGGTTAGGTGTTAGGTGGTATCAATTTTAATGCCACTTAGATGTGCGTTCACTTCGACATTCTGTGTGTCGGTTTGTTCGTTGGCTTGGTTTTGTATAACAAAAAAAACTTCGAGACAAGATGATTGGTATATTCCCGATGACGTATAATTTCAAATTTTAAATTTCAATAGGGCTTAATTTAAAAACTTTTGGCTTTTTTAACGAACAGACTATTTAGAATAACTTGTATAGCGACTAACTACTACAATATAATTTATAAAACAGCATATCTCACATGTGAACATGGCCCATTGTAGGAATTAATTACTCCGTTATGCTGCTTGATGTTAAAGAATTCAGAAAAATTGTTTTCTCTTGAGCTTATCCTTTTTATAGGTTAAAATATTGAGGAATCTGGAAATGACTTAAAGAGGAAAAATGGGAACTTAGGAGCCGTAAAATGATTTTTGTTGGCTACGAACACGAACCTTCTAACTATCGTCTTTGTCTGTTGCTGTGTGGTTGTTCCAGCATTTTTCATATTTGTTATGTAATATACAACAGGAAAAAAAATTATCCATATACAATTACTGCATTCGTTAACGTTGCGTACATATCCACTAGTGCGAAATACATTATACTATTTTCCACTATAGTTATGTAATATAATATTTACTTACCATCAATAACTTGTCGTAGATATTTCATTTCGCTTAAAGAATCATAAGTTACAGCTCCGTTATGTTTTTTTAAAATACAAACTATTTCTTCTCTAACTTTTTCTTGGATCTTTGGATGTTTGCTGAGTTCATATAAAACAAAAGTCATAGTAGTCGAACTGGTTTCAAAACCAGCTATGAAAAATACAAAACATTGAGCAACCATTTCGTCTATTGTCAAGGTATTTCCGTCACCTACAAGAAAACAGAAAAACATTTTCTCCAGATTTAAAATAGAAATATATTTTATATATGGTTCTTCGAAACAGATTTAAATTAGAAAGTTATTTTTTGCACCTTACTTTGTGACCAGATTTAAATCGGAGAGAATTAATTAAAAATTAATATTATATTTTTAGATATCTTCTTGTAGTTAAAACAATAATTATGCCAATTAAATAGCATTTCTATTCAACAAAATTTTTGTATGTACAAAAAAAAATAAAAATATAATATGAATTTAGCCTATAACATACCTGGTTGTTCACTTCCATCCTTATTATTCTTCATATCTATTAATAATTGTAGAAAATCTTGTCTCTGGACATTATTTTTTTCTCGATATTTCACACTATCGACTACTACTTTAGTGAAAAATTCCGTAAGAGTAGGGTCCAACTGTTTAAATCTAAGTAACCGCGCCAAACTAGGAAAATTCATAGTTATTGTAAATTTTAAGTTTTCCAATTTCGTTCTATTAAAAATTCGATTACCCATCAAACGAAATGGGTTATTTGGGTCTTTAAAACTGTTGCATTCTAATCCAAATGCACATGATCCAATGATATCTGTAGAAAAATTTCCTAGAAAAAAATTTAATTATTTAGATAATTTAGAATAAGGTATTTATTTATCGCTGGAAAAAAAAAATTAAATTGGTCACGCTTAAGCAAACAATTGGCTATACTTTAACAACATATTTAGTATAAAGGTATAAGCATTAACATTTAATCGTATTGGAACCTGATGTAGGATCTGGTGAGGTGAGACGTCGTTTTGGCAGGAGGCGCTCACAAGAAACTGCAGTGTTGCCAAGGAACTCTTAAGTTATCCTGACAACACTGGAGTAAACGAATACTTGAGTATGACTAGACAGAATCTGCGCTTGGTCATAGGCATTTTGACTAGTCATTACGAAGTACGGAAGCATCTCCATATGATGGGGCTGTCAGAATCCGCACTCTGTAGAGGGTTCAAACAAGAAGATGAGACCATCGAGCATATCCTTTACGATTGCTCGACGCTCTCCTTCATTAGAAGATTTGTGTTAGGTGAGTATCGGCTAACAACGGCCCTCCCTCCCTCCCACCCTTCGATTTCGATGTTACAACACTACTCTCCAACCGTCTTACGAATTTTCGATCTGCCCACGTGTCCTGACGCGAGTTTCACAGTTTTTACTCATCCCACAAAAGTGCTCAACGCCGCTAAAGAAGTATTCACTTCGAAATGGCATCAAAAAAAATAATAGAAAAGAGAGAACATCTCAAATAGATAATGAAAACGATTTTAATCAAATAGCTGAAGAAAAGTCATGTTCCACAACGCTTAACAGAACACAAAAAATACTAAAGTAATGCTCCAAAAAATCTTAGATAGACGCCATTTTTTTTTTTCGCGATGTGTGGGTGTAATTTTAATAATTTCGTAAGGAAAATTAATTATTTTCTAATTATCCAAAATTGCATTTAGTTCTCGGATGTCAACTTATTTTGCTCACTTCACCTTTCTTTCTTTATATTTTCACTAGTAATACTACTAGAGGTCAAAAAAATTTCCTGATATTAATTTGACCTCGCGTGGTATTCGGTAAGAAAATTCCAGGCCGAATTATGGTTGAAAATTAAATATTTTTAAAATTTATTTTTCGTTTCTCAACAATGCAAATTATTTTCTCCAAGTCACCAGTGAAACATAGAAGGTGTTGTCGCCTTGATTGTTGAGTTGTCATGGTACCTAAGTGAGACCCTAACCTCGAATATAATTTCAGTTTTGAAGTTGTCAAGCGGCCCGACGTAAAAAAATGTTTCGCTGCAATTATTTAGGCCTTCAAATTGCTTATTTCTACTCATTGTAGTTGCATGGGAATACCATTTGAAAATAGAAAATAGTATATTCTTTAATTTTACGTAAGTTTTGAATAACTACAAGTGGTAGAAAATTGTTTTTCTGCGTTTTTATTAACATGCGTTATGAGCGCTTTAAAATGGTATGAAATTCATAACCAGCGTCAGCAAGCATCAATCGTAGGAGGCTGTGATCATTGTATTTTGACAGTTCAAAACATTAAATAACTCGCGTTTTGTTGCGATAAAGAATATTGCACAGCAAGTAAAACCAACAAAATTACCTATTTGTTTAAAAATAAATCGATTTGAAAATCATACGCTATGCAAAATATGCGTGAAATTGTCTGATGTAATGATCAATCATTGCACCATGACTTACTTACTCGGATTAATAGAGGATTGTGGCTCCAACTTGAAAAACGAAAATTTGTTCCGAATTGTCCACGAATATTTGCACCTAAACTACGCAAAATTCAAAGTGCTGAATGGGAAAAAGGTGAATAAATTAGTGTCTAAATATTATATATATATTATTAGACATATACACATAATTCAAAGCATCCAAAGTCCTGCATTTTCGCCATTAAGAAGAAAAGAAGTGGCCGAAGAATATAGAAAACACCTTAGCATTGTAACTAAAATGTATCAAAACTAAACCTATTATGTGAACAAATAAAAACCAGTCTGTCAAAAATGGTCTGTTATTGTAAACGTCAAAAAATTTCCAGTATAATTCGCTGTTGGGTACCCCACGAGAAACAAATTTCCACTAAAATACCTCCGTTGCCATGATGATCTGTCAAAAACACGTATTTTGATTGGTTCAAAATTACAGGTGTGGAATTTTCACAATTACTGGAGTGCGTTTAGAAACCACGCACGGCGCGTCTGGACCCTATTCTAATGTATGTGGTCAGACGCGCCGTACGAGGTTTCTAAACGCACTCCAGCATACCGTACTCGAAGACGAATGAAGAATCTTAGAAATTTGTTCTAGTATAATTGCTCACGGAATTAGTTAATACAGCTAATTTTATCATCATTTGTAGAAGACTGTATCTCGGAAAAGCCTTAGCCGATTTTTAAAAATGAAGAAGAATCTGAAAGCTTATTATTTCTTGTATCAACGGCTTAATGCGATCTTCATTGGAAAGTAATTTTTTAGTGTTGTACAAGGTGTGAAAGAATACAATGTAAAAATGTAAATTTTTAACCGCATGCACCTGTTGCAATAGTAATTTTAAAACTTTCATCGTAATCACATTTAGAAGTTTAGGTCGATATTTCGGGTTTAATTTGACAGTTTTGTATTTTTTGTTTAGAAAAAAAGTTACAGGGTATTTTCAAAAAGTACACATTTTTTAAAATTGCAATTTCAGTTTAAATAAGTTTATTTTACTTTAATAGAACGGCACAAAATACAAATTTGAAAAAGTATCTAGCATATGAGGTGTCCTAAAGGTCCCGGGACAAGCCAATAGTAGATGGGATTAGCCAGTTCTGGACCAAGGTCAGAGGCAATTGATGTAATTAGTAATTACCCTAAGTACCCACCCCCCACCCTTCGAGCAAGTACCCCCCACCCTTCGAGCAAGTACCCCCCACCCTTCGAGCAATTAGCAAGTACCCCCCACCCTTCGCGCAATTAGCAAGTACCCCCCACCCTTCGCGCAATTAGCAAGTACCTCTGAATTACTCTGTACACCATGTTATTGCATAGTGTAATGAGTGTAATTGCATAGTGTAATGAGTATAGTAAGTACCTCTCAGTACACATAGTGATGTAAGGACCAACCAATTATTCTGTACTGAGTGTAATTGCATAGTGTAATGAGCATAGTAAGTACCTCTCATTACACCATATGCATACCTCTCAGACAGTATTTACTGTGTATATCACGTAGTGTAATAAGTCTAAGTACTTCTCTTGTTTACTGTTGTAGCATAGGGGAAATAAGTCGGCGCCATGCACACCCTTGACTCTCAACCGCCATAGCTAAAGTGAATCACCGGTCTTCGGCAGACACGCGCGATGTAAATATTGTTGGAAGGGGTAGTATCCCACCCTTCGCGCAATTAGCAAGTGCCTCCCAATTATTCTGTAAATTATATACTTTAATGAACGTAATTGAGTAGTGTAATGAGCATAGTAAGTACATCTCATTACCTCCTAGTGATTACTATGTATTTAGAATTTACGTTACTCTATACCGAAGTAACAAGAATTGGAGCTGTTCCCGTATATTATGAATAGGGGAGGGGAGCATAGTGGAGGTGGGGATTTATTGAGAGGTATATAATATCACATCTATACGAATGAGATCAGTCGCGAGCTATAAGTGCGTTGAAAGTTTCATTATCTAATATCGAAATAATCATAAAAATAGTAGATATGTATAAGTGTAATTGCGGTTTAACATTTACAAGAGCAGATAATTTACGACGACATCAAAATAAAAGTTGTAATCTGATATCTAACCGCAATGGTGAATCATCCAGCGGTACGAAAAGAACCGCCAATTCAAGCCCGGATGTTTTACCGGTAAAACAAGCTCGTGTAATGCGAGTTTCACATCGTACCGTAGACCCACAAGTTCATAAAAGTAGATGTGAATCATGTAATGTAGACATCGCAACCAATCAGATGACATCACATATGAGGAGTCTTAGTCATAAAGAAAAGGCATGCACAATTCATGTCGATGGTATATATTTAATTAAGAGTGCATTTAAGTGCAGAATCGCAAGTTATAGAGTCAAAAGTGATGAAAAACATATAGACTATATAACATTTTTTGAGGCTATAAAAGTGAGGGTATTGGAATTGTTGAAAGTTGTTCTGAGGGCCCATAATGCCATTAAAGTTAATGTAGAGGTCTTCGCTACATATGTATTGCAGATCCAAGATAATTCTGAAATCAAATCTTTTAATAGCATAAATCGAATACTAGATTTGCCGACGGATTTGGATGTGGTATATGCAAACTTTAAGGACGCCTTGGTATCTCAAACCGTAGACTTCCAACATAAAAATTCAGGTATAGTAGTTATATAATACATAATACATCGGTAACTAATAAATTATTCATTGTTTCAGGTTGGTCATTACAGGAAGTACTATTTCTAGAAGTTAATATAAATAAGTACTCTCCGTTAGGAGGCTGCTCATACATAAAGCTGCCTAAGTTTATTGAAACCAAGAAGGGTGTAGTGAATGTGCAGAATAATGATGCGTACTGCTTTGCTTGGGCCATCACATCAGCTCTATATCCAGCCAGAGATCATGTTAGCCTAATGTCATCGTATCCACACTTCGAGACCGTGCTGAATGTTGATGGCATTGAATTTCCCATGAAGCTTAAAGACATTTCAAAATTTGAAGACCTCAATGATATAAGTGTTAATGTTTATGGCTTGGAACATAGTTATGAAAATGGTAAGGCTAAATTTGAAATAGTAGGCCCATTACGATATTCCCGTAGAAGGTTAGGGCATCATATAAATTTACTGCTAATAACAGAAGATTCCGGTAATAGTCACTATTGTTGGATTAAAAGTATATCCAGATTAGTTTCGAGTCAAATAACTAAAAATGGTCATAAAAAATTTTTTTGTGACGGGTGTTTACTTTATTTTCCATCTGAAAGCATCCTATTACGTCATCAATTGTGCGATTGTAATCATATATATACCAGTACACCATCAGTGGAGCTTAAAAAAGACAAACGCGGTAA